AAGAAGCAGGACCATTATACAGGAATTAAAGCTCAATTTTTACTACAAAGACAGAAAAAAAATTTGGACAGAATGACAATGTCAGATGCTCTCTCTTCACTTTTCCTCCCCTTCCAGTGATCTCACTGATGTTCTTACATGCTACACAATCAGGGCTATGGAATGGACTTGATCAAGCCACTGAGTGGTCATTTGATGCTTCATCTCTCACTGCATATTTCTTCTCATCTCACAACATATTGTGGTACTTCAGTTTGAATACATGAGTTGGAATAGAGGCTTTTATCACAGATTTCCTGGAAAGGGAACTAGTCTTTGAATTTAACAAAAGCTCATCGTTCCATGGCCTCTTTGGTGCTATGCACTCCACCAACTTACTAAGAGCTTAAAGAGAGACTTTGTCTTGGATGTACAAAGATCCTTCTCAGTCACCTGCCTGTTCCAAGTGCCTTCCAGAGCTAGCTGCATTATGGAAGCATTTCTGTTTGTGATTGTCTCTTACAGGAGCCTTTTCTGTTTCCTTGAGCTATAAAGGATGATAGCAGGATACTCTGGAAACTCAACCAGCAGTTCCAGTCTCAGATAGCTTTTGCTATGGTGAAACTCCTGTGCTTGCCGCAGAGACAATCTGTCCTTCTGCCATATGAGACCCTTTAGTTAAGACTGAGAAGTTGGGTTTTTTTTCATTTTCCAAATGAGCAAACCTTTGTTAGTCCCACTACATGCATGGAGTAGTCAATTTTTTGACTATTCCATTCCCCATGTCCTTTTGTTTGAAAAGCCTTCAAACCCATGAAGAGATGATAAACTGGAACCAGAGAGACACAGGTGGTGCCATGAGAGGAAAGACAGAGGAACAGTAAGGCAATGCATTAGTGTTAAAATGAATGCTACATGTGGGGACTGAAAGGCTGTTCTCCCACTGGTACCATGATTCTTCAGAACATCAAGGCACCAGAAGCATCTTCCAAACCCCTTTTGTTGCTTTCTCCTACCTGCTTGCATTGCACCAAATGTGGTTGCAATTTTTCCCGTTTGATGCTGTGCCAGAAGACCATCTTATCTCCATTAAAATGCTCTAAAACACTTTAAAAACAGATAATCTACATCACATGGTTAGTGTTCTATGTCCACTTTGGAGCCTGAGTTCACTGGAGCTGGACTCACTCTCACTCTCCATTTACTACAATGTTAACAATTTGCAGCATCTGTGACAATCCTCCCATGTTCTTTATCAGCTGCAGAGCTGTACCGGAGAGTTGGAATAGCTGGAATAAATACTATTTATGTCCACTACTAGCTTGAAAAACTACCTTGAAAGCAAGTTACCTTCTCCATGAATGCTGTTGGGTTGCAATTGATAGCCTGAAAAACACATCTTTCTTAGCAAAAGATGTGTCCAGATAGAGCAACCACCACGCCGTGTTGTCACCAATTTGTCTGCCCAGAACTCTCACACACTGCTGCATATTCAGTGACAGAAAAAATTGAGTTATTTTAAAAAGAAGACAAGCACTGCTATTGTACAGCCTAGTTCAGAGTCCCATATCTTGAGCTGATTCAGCTTATCTGTTTTTCTATACCTTTGACAAATACATGTCTTATATCATTTTTTTCTTGCCTTCCTCCATATGCCATACTGCTTTTCCTCCATGTATCTTATCTAGAAATGATGTGCTATTAATCAGCCAAAGACACCCTTCACTGCTAAGTGCTCCTCAACTGATTTTTCATCAGCACAAGTAGTTACTAGTTCCAGCATTCCTCCCACATGCTGAAGGCTTGGCGGGGAGGGAGGAGGGATGGCAAGGAGGTTAGAGACTGCCTCATCACATAAATACTATCAGGGACCTTTATACCAGCCTGCCAGCTTGCTGTAATGCTAATGTTGCTGTTTGTTCGCAACAAAAGGAACATGGTGGGAGGAAAGTGGGGCTGCACCCTGTCTTATTTTTTAAGTTAATAACCTTCATGCTCTTCCTTTTATCTGATTAATCTGGCTGGGTGCCTGTTCAGTAGTAGCAGAAGCTTAATACCTGAAACAATGTGTGGATATGCATTATGCCAGTAAGGCTTGTCCAGCAATGCACATTCTGTCATGTTTTCCCATGCCTTGTGTCAATATCTCATTTTATGTGCAAGCCCCCAGAGCAGGGGGAAAAAAAGAGAGGCATGGAGGGAGAGAGGGAGGGAGAAAGTTAGAGGGAAAAGGAGAAGAAAGAGAAGGAGAAACGAAAGTCGGGAAAAATTACATCCCTTGGGAACATCAGCTGCTACAAACTCGCCCACTCCTCACCATGAAACGAGCTGTGTGCGGGCACAGGTGGGTCCCATTCTCTGTTACTAGAGCACAGCCTGCAAACAGGGGCTAAATGAAGACTTTCATTGCTGTTCCCTGTTTTCATTGGAGCAAGGCCATCATAAACATTTGCAGGTGGCTTGGCCATAGTCTGACACTAAAATATTTGTGGTTGTGATAAAAATCAGAATATTGCTACAAGATGGTTCTATAACCTTCAGGGCTTGATCCTGCTATTACACAACTCAGTGAGAGTTTTACCCAGTTTCTCTCTGCTGGTTTTATTGCTCATTAAAAGGCATTTTCCCTGGCACAATTCTTCATGGTAAAGACTCATCTACCCTTTGGGGCAAATTCAGATGATTTCTAAAAAAGGGAAACTCAAGCAAAACCCACTGATTTGAGGACCTCAGCATTTGGGCTTGTTAAATAGCTAAACAACCTCAACTTTGCAAGGCTAAATCAAAACAACCAAACTTTGAAAACCTCAAATATTTTCTGAATTAATCTGATTTTTTTTTCAGTTGTCCAGTTTGTTTTCCTCATGAATGAGTTCTGGAGATAATTCTTAGCACATTTAGAAGGATAAGATGAAGATAAATGGAAATGACAAGATATGTTCTCTGAATAAGTAAAACAGACACCACAGGGAAAAGACTGAAGGAAAAGAAGACAAACAAGGATGCTCAAGGCTTTGGCAAGTAGAGGAAGTTGAAAATACAGCAATTATCTCCTAGGACACACCATGAACAAAAAACAAAACCTCCTAGGAAGAGGGAAGAATGGGGAACAGAGTATGCTGGAGGTCACACCATAAGTCTCATTCACACACCAGCTCACACAGAGACTAAAATGCTGACAATCGCCTCCCAATAAAGCAGCTTTAGACTCAGACTTAGGAAACATTTGTGTGATTCAGTGACAGGGAAGAATTAAGATATGTCATGGCCAAGTTTCCCAAGTGAGACACACCACTGACTAGGAAAAAGCCTTTCTATCCTCAACCCCACCAACTTTGGAGATTCTAATCACCATGGCCCTGAACCAACACAAACCTAAAACCTGACTGACAGGGTCTTGCAAAACCACATGCAGTTTTTTTCTCATTATATAGAAACAATTGTTTGGAAGCCAAGTAGAGTCTTACATAAAACACCTCACCACTGAGTATTAAAAGTTGTTTGGGTTTTTTTATGCTTTTAATTAGGATCATAATTACCACTAGACCTATTAAGTCACAATTTGAACAGGAGCTTAATCATCCTTAATGCAAATAATGGCATTAGTTAATGTTTTTCTTTCTAAAACTGAAAAAGAAACTGTTTCTTCCTCCCTCCCTCTCTCCCAGCCCCTCTCTTTGAACAGAATGGGACATATATAAGACAACAGCTTTGCTGGATTCACAGGCAAATGGTATTGCATGTGAAATCTCAGTGAACACTGTGTTTTGACAAGAGGTAGCATATACAAATGGCACATCTATCAAATAGCTTTACGTGACCCATTGTTCCAGATTAATGTATTAAGAACCAAATAGTGAAATAGTAGTAAAAAGGAAAATAGAGGAGCTTGGCCAGGAACACAAAACTGGGGCAGCAGATGGAATCTGTGTTCTGTGTACAGCTGGGTAGCCCAGAGCTCAGTACCATGGGCCATGCCAGCTACCATGGGAGATACACAACCTGTACCTACACCAAAAATCTTGAAAGAAAACCCAAGAACAACTAGAATTTCAGTTTTCAATGCCAGCATTTCACTTTATGATTTTACTTTGAAAGACTGAAAGTTGATAAACAGTTATTTAGATAATGACTGAGGACAGTGACGGCTTTTGCAGATGTCACTAATTGATGTGACCAAATTGCAGTTGACAGATAATGAATCTATACTGCTGCTTCTTTCTTAGTCCACTAATATATCTTTTTATCCATACGTTTTCATGTATAATACCACCCCCAAATTCTCAGAGCTGTGTGATGAAAAACCGTACCCTCAAGCCATCAGGGCAGTTTCTGTACAATTAAAAAACACGTTATTGTGACTTATGAGGATCTCATACTTACTGGAAGTAACCAGGTGTAAATATATACTAAACTTGAGTGGTTTTGTTCATACAGTTCTCCAGGCATTAGCACTCAATTGGCATTCTTGCTAATACAATAAGCATCCATACTGTCAATTTATGGTAATAAATATGGATCCATCATCACAAATTGAGCAGCTATTTACACTGTGCCAAACTCTATTTATCTTGATGGTCTTTTTGTCTTCCAGCATTCCTCATTCCTCATAGGAAATAGCTCAAACCCATAGAAAACCCAGAATTCCCATTGAAGGAAGTCAAAGGATCAGCTTCACAAACACTTTGTCTTTCTTCCCAGTGCAGCTATAGAAAAAACATGCATTATGATCATAAGAAGATTAAAAAAACCAAAAAACTGGCAGCAGAAAGCAGGACTTCCCAGTAAGTACAGCATTCTGTCCTTTTTGAACCAGTGTGCCATATCTGGAGTAACCTGGCCATTCCCCACAGTCTGCAACATGTGCTGCAGGGTCAAGTACAAACTCTGTAACCTGAAAAACTACTAGAACAACATCTGAGCCTGCCTGCAGCTGGACCTTAAGAAGCATGAGGACAGCATCTGCTCCTACAGGCAGGAGCCAGAGAACCGGAGAAATGAGAAAATGGAAATGGACTCACCCAATCTGCCGATTTGTGGAAGGCGCTTGCGTAATGACGGAACTGGACTGTGGAGACGGCATGGCTTGCTGAATCACAACGCTGGTGTCATGGTTTGGCATCCTTGTGTTTGTCAGCTGGTGGGACCCAGGCCCTGCCATTGCTCCTCCAACTGTGTTATGCATGGAGATATTCTGTGAGAAGAAGGGAAATGGGAGATGGTGGAAGAAAATGAAAATAAATAAATAAATATATGTCTTATCTTGGTTTTCTGTTCTACAGGAATTCTATTAGGAATCTGAAAGTATCAACAACATGAAAAGTTACTGGCTCCTGGTAAATCCCAACTCAATAGATCTTCTTATAACCAATAACAATGAAGAAATGAAAAATAAATATTTACTTTCACAGGTGGAAAAATACCCACAGGTTGGGTAAAACTATCCATAGGTTCACTAATCACTCTTCTGTGATTCTGTCTTGTGATATATAATGGGGATATTTAGCACATATTTCTCCTAACCAAACATGATATGAGCACATGACACCTTGATTTAGTGCATGGGCTGTTTACTATGTACTGCCTCTGCTTAGACTGACAAGCAAATCAAGTTTTACAGCCCCAAACCAACAAACAGTACATGGCACATCATGAAACAGCCATTTCTATTGGCCTCTATAGATTTTGTAGAGCAAAAATATCCCAGAGGCTTAGAACAGCACTGTATTTCACCACATACAACCTTTGCTCCAGGTAACTCAGAGCTCTTAAAAACTTCTTAAAACCGAAAAACCAGAAGTTCACTGATAACTCATATCCACTGAGCAAACAAGCAGCGAGGGACCAGGATACTGCTAAGGAAGGAGCCATGGAATAAGACTTCTCTGCTGCTATGCCTGTACACACAACACACACTGCTGCTAAACCGCAGGGTTTGACTTGGCCTGCATTTGAAAACAAACAAAACTCTCAAGCCAGAGATAAGCCACAGTGTATACACATGAAAAATACGGTAACCTTGAGAGCATTATTTTCCCTATCAGGCATCAACGTGTGAATTGTTAGCAGCAAGAGGAAAAGAAACTTTCCATTGTCACCTCATGCTAGGCTGAGGAAAATGGGAACAAAAAACCCCTTATACACACACTGCCACTAAGACTCACACAAAGTACCTTCCTAACCACTGCAATACTCAGGATTAAAAAACAAAGTTCTGTTTCATTCAAAAATTACAATTTATGAGTCAATTTGTCTAGGAAACATATACAACCACTGCAAAATATTGGTAGATAAAGCTGGTGGGAAAGAAAACTCAGAGCTCTGATCAAATGTGGAAAACAGAAGAGGCACACAACATGTTGAATCCCAGACCTAAAGAAAGATTGTATTATGGGCCAAATAAAGAACTACACCTCCTGGAAAAAGAGAGCAAATAATTAGAGGACCCCAACTGAAGGCATTAGCTGTTATCCCCTTATCTCCCAATGTTATATATTTCATGTGATTTCCCAGAACAGTGTGGACACAGGGATCTCTGTTTCTTTTACAGGAGTTGTTCCAGTCTTCATTAACGCATAAAGAGGGAGAAGTGCTGCCTACAGTTGAATGGTCACACCACCTCACCTGGAGTGAAGAGGACCCACCTTGAGTTCCTCTTACAGCAAATAATTTACACATTATGAATCAGGTCTAGAAACTCCTTATTCACTTCAGTATTCACTTAAGGAGCATGAATTGCAAGAAGAAGCCAGACCAAGGGCCTTAACTGTAATATTTCATAGCACAGAAAAATGTCATGACCATCAGGCAATAACCTTGGATATACGAAAACTTCTCCAAAAGAAGTTCTCCCTCACCTACCACATTCCTATTAAAATGTCACTTCTTCAACACATTACTGGTTTCTGATGAAAAGCCTGTTCAGTTTTAAAAAAATATATACGGCCAAATCTAGCTCAGGATTCAAAGCCTGTTTTTTTTATCATGACCAGATTTTGCAAAACCAGATGTAATATCTATCCATGTACAATCAATATTTTAATGCTAACTCTTCCTAAAATGATCTCTAAAGGAACCATGTATGGTATCATGAGTCTGCAAGGCCTGGGAATGGACAGGATGGAAATCTATCACAAGCCTTAGACAAGTGGTACCCTGGCACTTGCCCAGAGTTTTACTGGACATTGTTGTACCATGGGAGGGCAGAACTGAAAGATTTAATATGAGATTCCTGTGCTCCTAAATTAGATATTTCCTTTCTCTTTTCCTTCTTTGTCAATTTTCTTCTACAATTACAGACCTCTCTAAGGTACAAACAGATTAATTATGATGGGTATGGAAAATTTTGTTTGCCCATAAGACAATGTAGTTGTTATCTTAAATGCATAGACTTCCAAAACTGTTTCAAAATTTCATCAATTTCCAGTAAGCCACATCTTTTCAAAAAGTAGGTCGAGTATGTGGTGCATGGAAAGGAAAAGCAGAGTGAAAGCCTGTCAATGCTTTCAGATGTCCATTCTTCTCAGTAATGCAAGCACTGCTGTTGGGCAAGCGTAAACCACGCTGCCAAGTGAAAGCCTAAGGTTTCCCAACAAAATGTCAAACTCAGCATGACTCTAACATTCATAAGAAAAGGATTTGGCAATCTCAGAATAACTTGCATCAGTGAGATGCTTGTGAATCTACAGAGAAGTCCAAGGAAGTTCATACTTTAGGTACAGTAGGCGTGCTCCGAAAGGCGGTGGGAAGGTAGCACACAGCAGACCTGACACTAAGCCCAGCTGATCTCACTGTGTGCATCATGACATGCAGAATGACTCTGTACCACCAGCACAGCAAGGCTAGGCTCACTGCATGTGTGATGCAGCCAGTCTTCAGACCTCCCAAAATGTTTTGCTGTGTAGGCTCTGCATCTGGTTCTGAATGGATCTGGATGGGACATTAACAAGCTCCTTGCAGACTTGACTTTGGGCTCTTATAGAAAGAGGAAAAATTCAGCAACATTGACTGAAACTGAGACCTCTGCTTCATATATTGAATTGTTGTTTGGTTAAGTTGCTTCTAGCTCTACTTTTAAGGAGTTCTTCATGTTCTTCTACGAGGCATCTGTGAATAACATCTCCTTTGAGTCCCCTAATTATTATCCTCCAGCTCTTAAGCCCATGGTAAAGATTGTTTGATAGTAGGTGTGGATCTCCCAGCATTCCAGTTTGGAGAAGCCTACACGAGCAATGACACAGACTATCTCCCACTGCTTTTAACATTCCCAAGACTCATCCATGCTCTGAGAGAGTATGACACTGACACATACACTTGGAGTTTTCTCAGCTATCTTCTCTACTGTGCTTAAGCATTGGAAGAAGACATACGAGCTTATCATTATTATCTATTTTATTAAACTGAACCTAAGTGTTCACGCAGGGAGCAGGCCACCCATATGTCAGGAGCTGCATTTTGTGAGTCTTAACTAAGATCCAATATATGAAGAGGAATTTATGTCCTTTAGGACTAAGTTGCATCCTCACTGAAGTTTCCAGTCACTCCCAAGGAAGCAGAAAATAGAATTATAACACTAAAGAGCTTTTATAGAAATTCTCCCCTCACCCATGTGCTCATGCAGTACTCTCCATCAGTATTTAACATTCAAACAAATAAACCCAAAAGCAGCAAACCATATCCATAAACCATTTTTAAATAAACGTGTTCATTTTCAACCTTTCCAGATGCAAGAAGAAAGCATGCAGATCATCATCAGATTAACTTCTCCCCAGTTACACTTCATGGCCCATTTTAGCTTCAGACTTTGAAGAAAACATTTGAGCATTTTTCTCCCACGTGCAACCATTTAAGTGTGGATAGACAACACACTTCTTTTTTCTAAAGGCTAAAAACTTCTTGAAGTCATGCTTCCATGTTCTGGTGGAGAGGATTACACATCACTCCACAAGAACACACACCCTGTTGGCAAGCACAGCAGAGCAATGACAGCTACACAAACACAGGCAAAATACACCCAGACAGTCACCAATTCCCCCAAACTCTGGTTCTTCCAAAGAAACACTCATCCATTTCACACAGCACCACCGCACATCAACCACCATCTACTGAACCCAAAGGATGAAGACAACTGATCCATCCTTCACGATCTACTGTAATATTCTGAGTTTCAGGGTTTGTCTGTGGTTTTAAACTATAAGATCTAGTTTCTGAACCAAAGTCTGTTTTTATTTTCCCACTCTTATTTTTTAACTGTGAGGCTTACCAAGAATTGCAAATACCAGTTTTACATGAACTGCAGACTGTTCTGGATTGTTCTGTGTAAGCTTCTAGATCAATAGAGGTGTAACCTACAACCAATTGTACATAAAGGTATTTTGCAGGCTCTTATATAAATTCTCAACTCAGAAGGTATTTTCCATTAAAAACCGAAATAAAAAAGCAGTTAATTTAAACACAAAGAAAACCACTTTTTGCACATTTTGGTTTTATGCAAAATATTATGTATCCATATTTTCCTGCACAGCAACTTAAAATATTTTCCCATAGTTCAAGAAAAAAGCATCAACTTAAAAAAATTATGGAGAGAAATCAAATATACAACAGTACTTTTGAATTTATACAGCCTGTCCTCTCAATGAATATATTCTAACAAGGAAAAATATTCTAAGACAACACACATTTAAATGGCAGTTTCATGTGCACTTTTAAGAAGTGTACAGTCATGTCTTGCCTGATTACTGAGATCCTAACTTCAAAATATATAAAAGCCACATGAGTGGAAACCTCCAGTGACACACTTACTCACTGCACATATTGTTTACACAACCAAAGGACCTGCTGGCTTAAAAACTCGGACGACATTGTTGTAAAGAAAATGATACATTAAATGTGGCAAATAAAGGCAAGCTTCAAAATTATTTTCATCATATATAATCTCCATCAAAATTACTGAGTGTTAATGAATTCTGTCCTGACAGAATAAAAAGATAATTCAAAAACAAGTTAGCAAGTCTCCCCAGAAGCAGCACCAATTCATTTATTTTCTCTTGACTCAGGTCAGAGGGGAAGGAAAACACCCTCACACCAGCTCATCACAACTGTTTAATCTGTGACTGGCACACAAAATCTAAACTCCTATAAGCACAGAACGAAGCTTGCTGCCCACTCAGGGCCAGTAAGCACAGATGAGGAACT